AGCGTTTTTATTTTCTCCTTTCTTTCCTAACATTTTTTCTGCTTTGATACATTTTAATATTTGTTTTGCAAATTGAAACATGCAAAAGCTGGAAATCATTTATTCTTCTTCAGTTTTTTATGTAATCTGCGAAGAAGGACTTAGTGCTTTCCAAGATTAAAAAAGTTAATCTGAAGCAGACCAACACTAATTGTTTTGGTTAAACTACCGATTATTAATTACGAGCGCTAAACGTTTCAGTTAAACTACTAACTATTAGCACTAGGACGGGAAATCATCTAGCCTTCTTCATTTTTTCATATAATTATTTATCCGTTAAACTGCTATCTGTTAACTACGACCACTAATTGTTTAGTTTAAACTACTAACTACTAACTGTTAGCATTAGAGCTGAAAATCATCTATTCTTCTTCACTGTTTTATATAATCTGTAAAGGAAGAGCAGAGTAGACCAACACTAATTGTTTTGGTTAAACTACCGACTATTAACTACGAGCGTTAAACGTTTCGGTTAAACTACTAACTATTAGCACTGGGACTGAAAATCATCTGGCCTTCTTCACTTTTTCATATAATTATTTATCCGTTAAACTGCTATCTGTTAACTACGACCACTACATGTTTAGTTTAAACTACTAACTACCAACTGTTAGTATTAGAGCTGGAAATCATCTTTTCTTCCTCACTTTTTATCTAATCTACGCTCTACGTAACGAAAGGCTTACTATGTAAAAGAGGTATTCCAAAGTTAATCGCAGGCAGGGTGACCCTAACTGTTTCGGTTAACGTCTTAACTATTAACTTCAAACCCTACATGTTTCGGTTAAACTACTAACTATCAACTATTGGCACCAAATGATTCTATTAAATTACTAACCGTTGCCTACTAACACTAACTGTTCCGGTTAAACTACTAATTATCAACTGCTTGCGTTATATGTTTCGGTTAAAGGTTGGGCAATAACACGGCGATAATCTTTTTGTCGTTTCCAGACAGTGGAGTGCGCTTATAAAAACTACGTAGAAAAATGAGTGAGTGGGCGAAATAACAAAAGCCATTAAACGGCGTTCGCCTGTAGTCAGTACATTGTGTGCGGGAGGGGAAATGGCACGTCTGCTAATGGCTAAAGCAAGATATCGATATCAAGAAAACGTTATTTGATGGCTTTGGGGAAGTCTGTTGCTCTAGTTATTAAAATCTAAAAAAAAACTGCCGCAGCGTCTTTATGCCGTTATAGAATTAAGAAAGAAATAGATCGTGTTGGAAGATTATGGCCGAAGTGTAGTGGGTTTGAAATAATCTGGTCTGGAAATATAAACAAATAGATTAATATCGCATAAAGCAATGCCTGCAAAAACACAACGCCTAATGGTACCATAGATTCATTAGGCCACGGCCATTCACTATCTCTTTCCACATCCTTTCCCTCTTTCTTTTCGATCATCATCGGGTTTCACAAATAAAGAACGTCTGCGAAACCCCCAAATTCTTCTCTTTCATGCGTACATGATGGTGCCCACTCAAAGACGATTTGCAAGGCTCGGTTTTGATTTTAATGAGGACTTTAAAAGATGGCTCACTAACTTACCGCGAGGTAGGTCGACTCTGTCTCTCCATCTGGAGAGACAGATGGAATGGATAAAACTGAGAAATGGACGCAACAGCATAATTGCGATATAATTATTATTTACTTTTAGATTTAGTCAAAAAAAAATGCAAAAACGCTTCGAACTTATTAAAACATTCAATATTCGTTTAATTTTCATCATTCAGTAGAACATGAAAGGTTCATTAAAAAAATTGAACATTACTACTTAAACATTCCAAAAAATGGGTCTCTTTTTTTTTTTTTTTTAAACATATTTAATTTTTAGCAATAAAATAACTAAAAATATTTAATCAAGAACTAAGTGTGCTATAGAAACACACACACACACACACACACACACACACACACACACACACACACACACACACACACACACACACACACACACATACATACATACATAGATAAAAGAAGAGAACTAAGTATTTTATAGGCGGACAGATAAAAGAGGAGCTGAAATTTAAAAACAGTGTGAAGTAGTAAAAAAGCGGAAATTGAATTTTTTGCTTAGATAAAAATTGAAAAAATCTTAATTAAATAAAATGTAATTTAATATAAAAAATGTACAATATTTTACAAAAAGTTTAATAAAATGATTTTTTTCTCAATTTTTTTTACTTTTTTGCTTTTTTTTCGCTTTTCTAAGCCATCTATTATTTGTATGAAATGTTTTTAAGAAGTTGTGAATAATTTTGTTTTGAAGTGAATTTGGTTAGTCCGTTTCCTTTTTGAATGAAAACGAGTCGTGAAAGTTTTGTTTGTTAAAGCTTAAAAAAAGTAAATTAATGTGAAAATAATTTTTCCTTTAACTCTTGCCTATTGATCTTTAAAGCCCGAAGTTATTTCCCAAATTCACTTGTATATGAAAAAACTGTCTCATAAGTATCCTTTGTAATGGTTTTTTTATTTTATTTTATTTAATTTTTTTTTAAGTACATTAAAGAGTTTGCCATGATTCATTTGAAGATGTCTTTAAAGAATCTTTTTTTTGTTTTTTTTTTCCTTTTTGTGTGTCTAAAGCGTTTTTAAAATGAACTTCTTCATAACCGGAAGCGTTAAGAAATTCGTAGAAAAAAATCTCTTCAACAATTGCTTAAGTTTTATAAAATCTACGAAACAATGTCTGCTGACAAGTAAGAATTTTAGAGTAGTTGTTTTTTTTTTTTTCTTTCAACAAAATGCTAGAGAAGAACAATTTATTTCCTAGCCTTGCATTGCTGCTTAATCGATCCTACACGAATTCCAGAGACTACAACGGATACACTATTTGATCAAGTTCATTTGAAATAAGAGGAAATGGATCTGTTTAATCACGTGTGAGGCAGTTGGGAGGTAATTTTTTTCCCTCATTTTCAATTTTTCATTACAATGGACTGTAGGCTACATATTTGGCCGTTTTGCCTTAAAGAGCTTGTAGGAGTTTGATAATACCACGAGGTGACGGGACTAACTTAAATTCGGTTGACGGTGCTTTCTTGATTTCATTTACCTCTACGCTACATAGTTCAAAATGCGCTACCATTCTTATTCTCCTCGTTTAGAGTTTAAGGTGACTTGAGAAGGACGCATTAGTGATTACCTAACTTATGTTGATTGCACTGATCACTAAGTTGCAAAGTATGCTGAATAAGTTGTTAAAGCTTTCTAACGGCAAAAAATTCACTTGGATGTTGAGAATAGCACAACATGGTTTCGTAGCAATAATTTATGTTCTTATCGTTCGAGAATAAAAAAAGAAGAAAAAATGTTGCGCTGAACAGAGCGAAGTTAGGCTAGTTAGAAATTAATATACTAAGTTTTATGGGCGAAAGTCAGGACTCTTGGTAAACTAATGCGCATCTACGCGTAGTGGAAATATTCTTTGCCATTTTATGCATATGTAGGCAAGTATGTAGAGGATCTTCTTATGGTGGCGTTCAATGTTTTCAAAAACGTCAGATAAGTACAGAAAGTAAAGAGAATGTTGCGGTATTTTCTCGCTCAAATCTCAGGTTTGACACGACCACACAAACGTGTGAAGTTTTTGAACGAATGGGAAGAATTCAATTCGTGCAGAGTGAAAAAGTCTCTTATATAATGGTGTAGCGACGTGTGTGGGCTTTGGAAAACTGAACAACTCTACGATGTAAAGCACATGTGAGGATATATTTTTTGATTGAAAAGTGGATGACATTTCCAAATGATCTTAAGTTTATCTCTTAATCGTAGTAAGTGGAATTAAGTTTCGATAACGATAGCATTTAAATTCCAGTTCAGTTCACCTGCACTTTCTATTTTCATATATTGTAAAATTTTTTTTTATTTTAAAAAGATTAAAAAGAAAAGAAGAAGAAATTTAAATAAAATAAATTATGAAAAATCGGAAAAATATATAAAACTCAATGACATTTTAGTTGACAAAGAACATTAGAATTAGAAAGGAGTTTAGCATTAGTTGCTTATAGTAGGGTATAGAATAAGTTTAAAAGGGAATTTTAGTTTAGCTTAGAGTAGTAATGAAAGTTAAGACAGTACTAAAATGCATTTAATTAACAATCAGACAATTTGCGCAATTTTATTTTATTTTAAAAGCGTATATATTTAAAATATTGCTTCTATTTAACGTATAATTTATTCTACCTCTTGGACCTTATACTGGCGTATGAGGAGGATATTAATTACGAATTATCATATATATATCATTATATATGAAATTATTAATATATGATATATATACGATAGATTTTATTTCTATCAATAATTATCTGTCTGTCTTCTTTTCTTGTCTGTATTTTATAAATTATTTGGAATTTTGGACGTTATGCCCTCATAGAGAAGCCCTATATTCTTAGCTATATTCACTCAACAAACTAATCAATTTTATCTTTTTAAACCAGATTGCATAACTGACATAACTGACATAACCATTTTTATTGGTTTTTCATAGGACACAAATTCGCAATCGAATGAATTTGGCTTTCTTTGTTGTTTGTCGATTGTTAGGAATATATAATTATTAATAATAAGTATGTCTTCACTTATTTATTGATTTTTTAATTAAATTGCTTTAAAACAACAACGATACATACATAGACTTTCATTTGATTTGAACAAGAACACAAACATTTAATTGAATTAATTGAAATGATGTAAGAAAAAAAACTCAAAAAAAGAAAAAAAAAATAAAAAAAAAATCAGGGAAAATAAAATGGAAAAATATTTATAAAAGCAATTAATTACAAATACAAAGGTGTTAAGGATATATGGGTTGGGTGATTATTATTAAGGACTATATATATATATTATATTAATATATATGTATATAAAAAATTTATTTAACTATATGCATTTTTTTAAAGAAAAGTTTGTTTTGTTTTTTTTTTTTTAATTTTTTTTAAATGCAATCGCTACCTAACAAGGGGATTGCATCAGATACTTGGGGCAATGTCTCAGCTACAAGGTTGAGAAACACTGTGAGCGATAGAAGAATTGTAACTCCTGGAAAAAAACAAATAACAGAAGATACATTTTTGTGATAAAAACGCTAAAGAAAAGAAGGAATTTAAAGAAAAAAAAAAAAAAAGATTATTGGGTTTTCCTTCTTTTACACAACAACGAAACTAAACCGTTTAAAAAAATTAAATAAATAATATAAAAAAAAAAAAAAAATGTTTTCTTTTACTTTTGTTTATGTGTTTAAAGATTATTTTTGTTCTTTGTTTTGTGTTTAAAAATATTGTTAATTATCGGTGTAAAATGATGGTTGGGCGTCTAGCCTTCGACGAATGTTTGTCGTTTTTGATTATTTTTATTGAACATTGATGGTTTATTATAATGTGTCTTAAAGCTATTTATTGTTGAGATTTTTTTTTTAAGATTTTTAAGATTTTTAAGATTTTTAAGATTTTTTTAATAACATTGGCTTTTTTTCCGATTTTTATATGCTGGAAACTTTTCTGGAGCAATGAGTTTGCTTACTACGTTAAATGAAGCAATTTGTTCGAGATTGGAATAAAAAATAAAAATTCGATGTTGGAGTTTTACATTTTACTTACTTATGAGCAGTCGATTTTAATGCAAAGCTATCGTTTACTTAAGCGACGGATGGCTTACAGTTCTGTCGACTCTAATGCGAAATGCTTCGGGCTTCTTAGAAGTTTTAAAATGCCATGCTACGTTACAAGGACATATGATGCGACTTGGAATTACTTTCTGAATTCATATAAGCTTGTGGACCGCTATCTGTCCACTCCTTTGTCTGTCTGTCCGTCTTATTTTCTTGTTTTTAATCCAGAGGTGCAATGAAATTTGTGACAGTGATGTGTTTCGCCCCTATTCGAAACGATTCGCATGGGACCGTTTTCTATATCTCTTGCAAAGTCTCTATGTGAATAGCTGTAGAGTGTTGTAGGGTTTTTTGCCTGTTTTGATTAAATACATTTGTCATTCGCTTCATGTATGCGCTTAACGTCAGTGCTGAGCTCAGTGTAGATGACATTGCACCTATAATTGCAAATATATCGCGCAAGGTTGTAGATTGCTTTAGAACGTCAGCGTCGTTTACGAGAGATTATTAGGCAAATAGATAGTAGGCAAAACTGTGTAAGTAAAAGGCCAAAAGTATACAACACAAGACTGGCTCGTATCTCATAAACCAGTTAACAAAGTAAATTATTTTATGGATAAATTCAAAGCAACTTACAATCCTCAAGGGATAGTTTACTACTTCCTTAGCGGTTTGCTTGTTCGTTCATGTATTTGTTAGTGTTTGCATTTCTCTATCTATTTGTTTCCCGTTTGCTGTCCGTCCATTCGTATATACTTGTCTGTACAGGTGTAACTACCGGTTTATTGGTTGTCGGTCTGTCCATTCGTCAACCTATGTATATCTGTTCACGTTTTTTTTCGGGTTTCCGGCCCACTGCCCATTTGTTTATCCACAGGCGATATTCTCCTATCTTCTGCTACCTTCCTAAATGTTTTCAGTTGTTACTACATACTTACTTTCCCCAGAATCTTTTGGAATAGCGCCCGGGATTACCAAGTTCAAATTATAAAATTAAAATTCATTGTCTATTGAAATTGATGAGCTAAGGTGTAAATTCACAAGGCGAAGATATATATTCAATGTGAATGGCGGTTTCTCAAAACTGACACAACAAATTTCTTTTTTTTTTTTCTTTTTTTTTTTTAGTTAAGTTTCTAGGAACTTTTTTTTTTTAATTTTGATGTGCTACTTACTTCCTTAACGCAATTTTCTTAATAAAACTATAAATGGGAAATTTTTTTCATTAGTGTTTATGTAAATGAGAAAAGTTTGACACTTTAAAGTTCATTTTTGTCAAGTTTTTTGTATGTACATGAAATACAAGCACTAGGAACAGAACATTTTTAATGATATTGAGGCGAAGAACATGACAAGAGTTGAATACTTAATTAAACGTACATCCATCTACAGGTATCTCACGTGAAGAAAAGTTGAAAAGAAAAAAAAAAAAAAAAAAAAAAAAAAAAAAAAAAAAAATTAAAAAAATTTCCAATACCGCAAATACAGACAAAATAATAATGATTTCCAAAGAATTTGACTGTCATAACGAGTAAATCGATTTCATTAAAAAGAAAGTGCTCATATATATAGAGCCAGTTGGATTTGATCACGTTCAACAAATTTAGTGAGCTATATATAAGGATACGTTTGGCTATCACTTAAACATGATTATATACGTGTTTAAACGTAATAAGCCACATCCACGCAAATTACACATTTGCCCTCTATCTTCTTTAATACTCTATGGAGTATAAACTTTTGTGTAGGATATTGAGTTTTCTTTCAACATTTTATCGCGTTCGATGCTGGAAGGTAATAAACTTTCATGACTTTGCTACACAAAGATAAGGGATACACGAAGTTTATCATTTCATTGGCGAATTCTTTCTCATTTTTGCAATTCACAAAATCTGAAAGTTGACTTAGTGCTAACAAGTAGAAACAGTTTGGTGTGGTACGGTTCACCCTACAGAAGTTCGCTTGAAATGCAGTTATTCATATAACGGCTTTGCAAAATAAAAAAATTTACATGGGAACTAGTCGAAAATATGGTCCGATTCGAAGCGCTCGTTCTTGGGCCAAAACACTTCGGGTCGTGCCAAATTCCATCAAAATTTGCGATCTGGCGGCGCTAAATATAATAAACATTAGATGGCCACATGGGCAGGTACGCTTAGAACGACTCAGAAGGTGATTCTGAATAGGGCGGTATCTGAAATCCTTCAGTATAATGCATGGACTATCCCAAGTCCTTCGGGATATTTCACACACCCGGGCTAACTTGAAAAGTAAGCAATGACGTATACTGCATCAATTGTAGAAAGGAACAATGGTAGTTAACCCACACAATAATTGAATCAAATTAGAAGAAAAATAACAAATTTTTGATACGTCTTTGCTAATAAAATGTTGACATGAAATATTAGTCCAACCATTTGTTAAAGCGGGTCTTCGATTCCCTGACTTGCCCACAAAACAAAAAAAGTTTTAAGGAGAATCATAAAATCTGGCTGATTACAGTGAATTCTTCATAGAAAACGATTTGCAAACAGAAAACAAACCAAGTGAGCCACATTAAGCATAAGCTTGGAAATGATTTTTCCTAGTACCCAGGAAAATTAGAACTGATCTGGTCGATCTGTGTTCATTTTCAAAGTTCAAGCAAACTCATAGATGCGCTTTAATCTTTTCATTTAATATCGCGGAATTTAAGTAGGTCTTAGAAGTTGAGACGAGTTTGTAATCTTCTTGTTACTGCTGTGGAAATTAAATAACCTGCAGACGTTTGCGTGGTCATCTATCGATTTTATTAAAATTGCGGAATTAAAACAAGTTCTATTCTTTCTCATTGACCGATTCCATCAATTGTGTTTTTGATTTTAATCTTTTTTAAAGGTGGAATGGAATTGTTCATTCCTTTCGAACTGAATACAATCTCGATCCTTCGCTGTCGTTTTAACTTCAAAAATACATCTTTATTAATAGCTTAACAATCAGAAACTACACTATAGTATCTAAAAACCATAAGTATATACAATAGACGATAGCACATAGCCACTCACTTTATGTGTGTATATGCATATATAACAGTTAATTGTATAAGTAGAAGTGATGGTTGCGCCTGTGCTATATCAATACTTTATAAAGGAAAACGAACGAAAGCACACCTCTTGTGTGTGTCCAACCATATTCGCATTCATATAAATATTCACTACTTTTTGGGTAGAGACATCAACACCAGGGTTATATGTAAGCAGTAGTCAATCCAAGTGATGGTAGGTTAAAAAAAACCTTATATTCATGTAAGAGTTTGACCAGATGAACGTGTTTTTTTGCACGTTTGTGACTTGCATTCTTGATACCATTTTTCTACTACACATACCACGTTGTTCTTACAAGAGCTGACACGTATATTATAGGATATACGTACATGTATGTGTTGAATGAAAATGTTCGTGAACATCTATATTAAGTGTTTTTTGACCAAATTGTTTTTTGGCGTGTTGTGTATTGTACGTTTGCATTACTCAGGAGTTTTTATAGTCGTTTCTTCTTTTAATTTTTTTCTCTTTTCTTTTTTTTTTTCTTCTCTCTAAATGATGCTAAGGCAGACTGAATTGAAATGATTAAAGTAGAATTAACACAATCGCAGTTGTTGGTTGATTTCGTGTATTTTAAGTTTTAAAAGAAATTGCAAAAAACTCCAAATATTTAATATAAGGGAAACATTTTTTTTTTTTTTAGTTTTCAAAGAAAAGTTGTTTGTAACTTTTTAAATATTGCTGATCTCAGAATTTGTTTGGCAAAAAAAAAAAAAAAAAAAAATAAAATTAATAAAAAAATGCTTCTATGTGCAGAAGTTCACAAGTATCATATTTTATGGAAATTGCTTTCATTTGTTTGACACAAGTTTCTCTGTTATTTGGGAAAATGGTTATTAAGATTTTCTCTCATTTTCTTTCAAATTAATTCAAGCGCACTTAAGACATTCAAAAATGGAAAATTTGAAACCATCATAATTGTAAATGTCCTAACTTTTCTTATTCGTAAATTTGTAAAAGAGATGAAAAGATACGAAGGGCTAAAAATGTTGTGTCCTTAACCCAAAGTTTTGCTTTTACGGCAATTGGCCGAAATCATGACTTATGGTCGCATCATTGTTCCTTTTTGTGAAAAATACTTTAATACAAATGACCATTTAACTGTTTATGGCTTGAGCTAATAACAATAACAAGCAATAGGGATCCAATGTGGGTTTAGAATCTTCTCTAATAAGAATTTACATTAAATAAATGTTCGTCCCCTAGATTGTGATTGGCTTTAAAGAACTTTTGTTTGAAGATTATGATGTTTCGCACCTCTCCCAAAGATATATAGTGGTATATACCTGTTAATTTACTTGTTACAAGACAGTTTTACCTTTCTTCGCTGTCAATTCGAATGTCGATCG